AATAATAAAAAATATAAAAATATATTTAAATAATAAAGGTTTGATGTGGCTGTAGGTGTGGAAGTGAATGAGAGAGTTCTCTTTTTGACAGAAATCTTGTACTGTTTCTTATAGAAATTCCCCTATTTCATGTGCTGAATGCCCGAATTACATTTGAAAATGTCAACGGCTGCAGGACAGCTGACAAAACATCATCACAAATGGTTGGAGGTGCACAGTGTGATTCAGGTAAGGAGTGGAAAGATGCAGTGATTGCATCTTTTTACCTTGCTGTCAGTGAAATGCACAGAAGAGAGAGATGGGTTAACTGCAGAGAATGAAACATTCACAGGTGAGAGGAAGCTGCACTGCATTACAGCTGATCTGGAGTCTGTGATACTGATCATACTGACCCATTCTGCCCCTTCCATGCCTGCCAAACTGACTAAACTGAGGTCTAGCAAGCTTTCCCAAGTATTTTGAGGTCTAAATTCTGGTGCAAGCTATTAATATGGGAAGCGGAATACAAAATTGCTCTAAGTGACAGTTCGGTCTGCATGCTCGTTCAAAAAAGTGGGTTATGTTTGGGTAGGATGCTCGTGACTGCATATATCCAGTGATACTCTGAACTGTTGCAGACCCGTTCATTAGGCATAACCTCAGAAGAGCCATTGCAGTATTTATCTTTTGCAATCTTTTTTCTTCTCATCTGGTTTTATCAGAGTTCAGCCACCTTAGTGCTCTGCTGCACACTGGTTTTATTTGTATAACTTGCCAGCATCCTAAAGAAAGCCTCTGCATTCTGTCTTACTGCTGTGCTTATTTGCCACAGAGGTCTTTCAAAGCCTGTTGGTATATTTAGCCAGGTTGTTTATCTGAATTTTTTGAGTTAACTTAATCATGCATAAACATTCATCAGAATTTTTTAAGTCACAACTTGTAAAAATATACTATGCCATGTTTGTAACTATATTTGGCTTCTATAGGTGCTAATTTTGAGGTTGACCAGTCAGTGTTTGAGATCCCCAAATCTTACCACGTCCAAGATGACGGTAGGAACATACACGTGCAGGATGAGGATAACGAGATCATGCAGTTTGCTATTCAGCAGAGTTTGTTGGAATCCGGTGGAAATAAAGTAAGTGTGCTGTAATCTGTGCAGTGCAGATGTGACCATTTTGACAAGGACTATGCAGCGATAGCTGTGTCTCTGAATTAAACCAGTATGTGGAAAGTGTCATGTTGGGACCTCTAAGAACCTCAGAAGAGACAAATACAGTAATGTATTTCAAAGAAGAAATAAGAGTGATTTAAGAGTTACCTTTCAGTGAGTTACACTGTTAACTGCTGTGGAATTGTTGATCTTTCCCTGTTTCTAGGAAGTGGGGGTGCATTCCAATGGAGCAGTTGCATATTCACAGGACTTCAACATACAGTATCAGAGGTAACTATCTTTTTTTCACGTCAAGCCATGCAGCGATAGAGCAAAAATACTTCCAACAGTAGCATGAAGCAATTTTGCAATTTTTTGTGTATGTAGGTAGCAGGTACACAGAACTCAAGGTCTCTTTTCTTGTGCTTCTAACTTTTACTTTTCCAAGAAGCAAGGACTCCATACTGGGCCTTCCTGGTTTATGTAGTATAGCTCTTTAGTTCAGCTGTGGGACGAGTCTGCGCGCATAACAGATTCTTTACCCAACGAATAAACACAGTCCTCCTGTTCTGCCCTTAAAACTGTGAACTTGGTCCCTCTGGGTTGAATGTTTATTAGATGCTGTGCACTTCAGGATAGCTCTTGTTTTGTTTCAGAATCATTATGTAATCCTTAAAAAACTTAGCAACATACATTTAATGGACCCTTGAGAATATGCTCTGGTATCTGTGAGGTCTTCCTGCAGTTAAGTGCAAAGAAATCTTTGTGTGCACAAAGCACTGCATCCTCTTGGTTCTTTTGTACATGGAAAATCATGTTGTCTTGAGACTAGGTGAGAATGCTTTTAGAAGCCCATTGAAAATTTAACTGTTAGTAAGTATGAAAAGTTCTGAGGAACCTTCAAAGAACAGGTTTTACATTGGGAATTTTACTGATGTTAGAACAACTGCTGTCTTATCCTGAAAACTGCTTTCTCCCCTCTGGGGGGAGATTTTCAGGTTTGCAGTTAGAAAACAGTTGCTAGGAAGGATCATTGCAGGAAACATGAAATAGGCTCTGTCTCTTACCTCTTGAAGTTCTTTTTCTCCTTCAGGGCATTGCAGGAGAGCTATCTAACGAGCTCAGGTAACTCACGCGGCAGCACCCCTAATGAACCTTCCAGTTTTGAAAAAGACTTACAGCTTGCCATGGAGTTGTCTGTCCGAGAGCAGGAGGAACGGGAGAAGCAACGTCGTGAAGAGGAAGATGCAGAGCTTCAGCAAGTTTTACAGCTTTCTCTTGTGGAAAAATAACTCCTTGACGATCTCCTGAATGAAGGATGACCAAATCTGCATAAAACTAAAGGTTTTCAGAGCTGTCAGCCTGAAGACCACTCCTGGATTGCTTAAGTAAACATTTCACCTGCCACCTTAGTTGGCATCGTCAGCTACTAAAAGCTGATTTATTTTTGTTTGAGGAATTTTCAGATCATGGATGCTGCATTTGGCTCCCCAACCATGCAGTCTTAGCTCTGGAGGAAAAGTTTTTATCTGAATATTTATTGAAGAGCAGATGGAAATTTTGCTTAGCATCAGGATATAGGATTGCAGTAAAGCTTGAAAACCTGATTTATTGGGAGTTCAGGAGGGAAACTTCATTACTTACCAAAGAAATACTCATCTGCTTAGTCATTTCTGAATAATTCAAAGCCATTGTCTGTTTCTTCCCGTTGTTACATGGAAGAGTATCTATATGCATATACACGCATACACACTTCTTCATGCTGACAGTGTACCCTGCTGACAGATGTTTTCTGTTAGTTTTGTTTATATGTGATTATCTCTTCTCTGGTTACTGAGATTTTATCATGTGGTCCTGCTTAAGAGGGATAATTTTATACTTGAACAGCTAATCCAAGCTCAAGATTAAACTAGTGCTTTCTGAAAAAGGACAAAAACAAGTAGCCAGTAAAATTTTAGATCCTAAAATGGGACCATCTGTCTGGTAAAGTAGCAGTTTTGCAGTGATTCAAAACCAGCTAGTTCCCATAGTCAGAGGGCAGCAAGAAAATAAGCGATAGATACAGGTGCTTCTTTGCGATCACTTGGTGCGTGTGCATGAGTGCGTGCCTGTGTGTGGGTGCTAAATTCAAAGAGAATAAAATTCAGGTGAAATTTTAATGTATGCCTATTGGAAGATACGTTTTAATTCTGTCATCTGAAAGGGAAACGTGTATTGCTTTTTAAAAATCAAATGCTCATCCTTCATGTGAATACATATATTTTTTTTATCTGAATATTTTTATTGATTTTAAAACAAGCGAATATGACTACACTCATAAGAATGGTATTCACAAGTATGTTTTAACCAGCTTTCCTCAGGTCTTTTGTCATGCAATATATTTGTAGCTATTTTATCTGCACTTCTGTCAGTGTTTACAGTACTTACACTGTGACTCTCAAGTGCACTCCACAAGTACACAACGTACATCCACAGGAAAGCCTTATAGTAGTTAAATGTGAGCAATATTCCTCTGTTCTGGCTGGCAGAAGTGTGAAGAACTTATGGTACATACGGTCTGATCTTGCTACCTAATCCTGCACTTGTTCCTTGGGCAAACCAGGGCGGTTCTGTGTGACCAACTATTAACCAGTATAAAATCACTATAAAATGGACTTGATCATAACCAGTGAGATGGTTGGTAACTTGGAACCCTATTTTAAAACAATAATCCATTGCTTTACAGAGCAAATTATTAAAATGCCTTCAGTGTACACTAGAACTGGTATACCTGCGCCGTTTTTGTTTAATGATACAGCTTGCATCCCTGAATAGCTTATTTGGTGTCTGCAGGAATGTTGACTTTCTTGCACAGTGGCAGTGGTCTATGTTGGGATTGCATCTTTCTTTGAAAAGGGGATTACTGTGACTTTCACAGTTGAAGAAGAAAAAAAAAGAAAAGGAATAAGCCTTGCATTGAGCTCTTGACAAAGTTGTGAGGAAGGAGATGAAACTGTGGTTTTTTCCTCCAGCGGAAATAAAGAGTGCTGTTGCCTTTATAAAACCATCTGTCTGACATCGCTTTTTTTCTATTAAGCATTTCAAAAGGTTACAAGGGGGGAAGAAATATCTTTTTCAAGCTGACTTGTTCTCTGTTTTTTATATTGTAAACTAAAGAATATTGAGCAGTTTCAGTTTGAGTTTTGTTATGCTCATGCTTCTTAGTCTTGGACTGTCAAAAAATTTGGGTGGCGGGGCTTTTTGGTGTGGGTTTCTTTTTTTGCTTGCTGTGACATTTGCATCGTTTCATCTAAACTAGAAGGCCCTGCTTCCCTGAAACCGGTGCTGCTTTTCTTAAACCCCAGCTTACATCTTATGCTATATGGGTAAAAAAATATCCTCTGATCCTCTGTGTGTGCTGGAAGAAAAACACAAACATACTGCAGTGTTACACTACACACACGAGTATTTTTTTCTAACATGGTAACTGGAATCTTTATCAATAATTATCCTTATCTGCCTTTTTGTTGCATTTGTGTACCTTAGAGGTGACATTAGCATCTGTGAAACTATCCAAGATAGTTCTGGTTTAGTGTGAAACAGACACATAATCCCTGGAAAGATTTTTTCTGACATTTTCAACGAACCTTTGAGTCTCCCTGTTTTGAAAATAGGGATCAGTACAACACAGACAGTCCTACGGCAATGAAAGGCAGGGTGGTGGTAGGACTTCAGTGCTCTTGATTAATTTCTGTGTGTGCCGCCTTGTGAATAAGAGAGAGAAGGGTCAGCAGAGGGTTGCACAGCATGTTTAATATTAATGCTGGGACTGCTGTATAAAAGCTGAGTCCAACTTCTCTTTCCAAGAAAGCCTGAGGCTTATGTAGGAAAGCAGAAGCTCAGAGTTACAAATAGCTGTAGTTCGTTCTAAAACTATAACTGGATTTTAAAGTTCTTTAAATTGATGCTATTTCCACAGCATCGGTGCTGTTTATCTGTTCCTGAAAGTGAGACTCACTATGTACTTCTTTTGTGCTTTTGGACTGTTGTTTCAATGTACAACAATAATTTATGATGTGCTTCATTTGGAAATCCTTCTTATGCTGCGTTGGTTGACTTTTGATTCAAAATAGGTAGTCTTCATAACTGAGTTAACTGAATTTTACCTGTTAATGTGGTAACAGGTAATGGTAATTGCACTACACTTGCAGGATGAGCGTTCATTTTCAATTTACTGTTAACAGTTCCTTGCTAACAAACATCCATGAAAACAGGGGCTTCACCCAGCTGTTAGGATCGCACTGCTGTCCTGCCCCTGTTCCCTCGCCATTGAAAAGGGGGGAAGAACTGGAAGATTCTCAGAGGTGGGAAATGGGACTGCCTCATCCCCTTGCACAGCTACAGCCCAGTTAATAACAAATAGAACATGCATGAATAAGTAAAGGAGTCCTGGATTGTTTACTTAGCTTTTTATTTGTACAAAGAGACATAGCAGGGAGTGAAGAACGAATGCAAACAAGAACGCTGCTCCCAGGAACTCGGAGCTGTAGCTGCCCCCACCCCCCCCGCCACGAACAGCGCACGGCTACAGGCCAAGTTTTATACCAGATGAAGGACCGAGAAAAATCAGTGACGCAGGACTCGGTGATCAAAAAAAGAGAAAAGGATCAGAAAGCAATAGAACAGTGTTACCTTGCTTCCTCACTCATGTTTCACTTAGATTAGTAACTAGATCTGTTCTAGGGCAGCCTCCTACTGTCACTTTACTAACAGAGCAGCAGCAAGGACAAACCCCCATTGCGATGAGAGTGGTCAGTGTCCTTTTAAAAAAAAAAAAAAAAAAAAAAAGGAACAGAAAACACATCAGATGCAGCACAAGGTTTTAGAGAACAGGTCAATACAATTGTTCTGGAAGTTAAGTTTTAAAACACTAAATAAATTACTAGCCAAAACACCCCTATGTTAAATACCAAAGTCATACTTAATAAGCAAAATCCAGTTACTACTCATAGCAGTGCAAAACAAAATAGCAGCATTCATATGCAAGTGTGATTTCAGTGTAAACACTTGAATTTATTACTGAAAATGCATAGAACAGGGCTGTCCGGAGCTTAAACGCAACGTACTTCCAGAAAGCCCGAGTCCAGCAGTCTCAAGCACCTGCCTGGCTTGCAGAATTTCGGAGGCTCCCATTTCCAGTAGGACACTAACCTGCTCGGGAGCACAAATCCACCTGCCAGGAGATGAGTGCTCAGCACAAGCTGGAAGCCCTCGCCTCCACCCCAGTTCGTAGCAGGTTCAGCATGGCTGTTTCGGAGCAAGGCTGCTTGGGGCTGTTTAAATTAAGAGTTAGAGCAAACAGTGACAGGAATGACGAGCCTGTCCCTGAACAGCTACGCCAGGGTCTGCTCATGCTTCAGTATTTCTGCTCAGATGTAAGCACACGCCGGACCCCCGCAGCCACACCTGTGGTAGGCTGCTGAGCTTTTTTGCCTTCGGACTAATTTTGAAGGCTGCGCTACAAACCCTCAAGACTCAACATTTAAGCAGGGAACTGAATGAGTTAGAAAACAAGCTAGACACGGTGTAGTCGAGCGCATGGGCCTGCTCGACAGACAGCGGTGTTAATAGCCCGGCTGCGTTCTCACGCTGACCCAGGATGGTTCCTCGGGCGCTGATCAGCACGGGCGTCGCGGCCGGTCGCGCTCCCCGCAGCCTCCCGATGCTCCGGGTGCGCACCACGCACCGGGGATGCTCTTGAGCACATCGCGTCAGGTCAGCCTCGCCAAAACGCTGCCTTTTGGGAGGAAGGCGCGCTGCTACGGACCCCGCTCAAATGCAACCGGGTTTGCTGCGGAAGCGCTCCCGGGAGGTCCAGGAGCCAGCTTGCTGAGGTGTGATTTCCAGCACCCGGCC